GCAATTACGCGCAATTTGTCGTACTTATCGACACGAGCATCGCTACAACGTACTCTTTCACGAACGCTAGCCCACGGCAAGAGTACAGGGTGTCCCTGACCGACCGCACTTTCATTTCGCTGCAGATACTGTCTGCGAATTGTTGAGCCGCGAGAGAAAAAAAAAGAGAGAGCGAGGAATAATAACCTCCGTCGAATGGAAAACAACCAACAATTGACGAATTGATGAAGCGTTTCTTCGATGTACCTCAAAAGTGTTGCAATCCACGTCGTACATGCATCTGCAGATCTACACGAATTCTTAATTTTGTTTCTTTGTCATTTATGAAGCTGTTGCAACTCGTCGTTCGTGTTCAAAGAGCGATATTTTTTCAATTAAGATTCCGATAACTTTGATCTCATACAAATATTTTTAGCTATTTCTTTTTACAGCGAAATACAATACAATGCAAGAATTTCTAGAGGTCGATATATTTTCGAGTGAAGAGCACTATTATTTTTTCATGGAAAATAAAAAATATTTGTCGAGTTAGATTAAAATATTAAAAATTAAAAAAGCATGTATCGTGAAGAATTAAATCATTTAAGTATTTTTAGAAACTAATAAATCGAAATTTTATTATCATAGATTTATTTATGTGTGCAACATACTCAAGACAAATATTCACGCCTTGATTTATTAATTGGTTTATTAAAAATAAATATTGAAAAGATAATTACAAGGTTTTAGTTTTACAATTAATTCCAATCAAATAAATTTGGATAAAATAAATATAAATATGAACAGTTAATTTATTGACCAAAACTGGCTTATTTTATTACATGAAAAAATTACAACGTTTCGATCACTGCTTGTGATCCTTTTCAAGTAAACTGAAAAATACATTATTAAATTGGATCAAAGGAAAGCAAACAAAACTTAATTATAAAATCATAAATTCAAACTCACATCAATGCAGGCGAATAATAAGGAAAATAAATATATGCGCAAAGGGAGGACCGAATTTATCTCATGTCAAACCCCCAATAATCTGATTTAATTCAATCTAATTTTATTAAATAATTTTATTAATTATAACATAAATAAAATATAAATATATATATATATATATATATATATAATAATTTATAATTATTTATTATAACTAACTAAAAATTATTTATAATTATTTTTGATATTATAAATTTTATATTATAAATTCTTAAATTTTATCAATATTATAAATTCTTAAAAAATATAATTTAAAAATCATATATTTTTACATGTCGTTAAAGTTATCAGAATCTTCTATTACAGACACCTCGTATATCGCGACTTGGCATTTTGCATACTTTAATCCGCGCTACTTTGTGGCTCTCGGCCCCGATCGGCTTCTCCAGCGACTTTTATCTAAATTAAACCAGTTTTCCTCGAACACGAAAGAGATGCATAAAGATACGACGCGCTCATATTAACTGTCAAACTGATCGTGATACGAGAAATTTTGATTCCACAAGAATCTACGCGTATCTAAAGAGAAGGACATAAATAAATATTTTTTTATCTAGTTGTAAATATAGTATGTACACGTAAAATCAAGCAGAGAGTTATCTCACGCTATAGAACATCACGAATGACGTTTCTCGCCAATATCTGTAAAACTGGAGCGTAAATTATCCCGGTGATTAAAATCTTTTACGACGGACGGAGAGGATCCGATAATTCGTGGATCTTTTATCGGATTCGCTTATGTAGGACTATCATGACGCTATTACGAAGTGCCAGGTATCGCATTATCTCGGAACGGCAGCTGTTATTTTTGACGTGCGAGCTGAAAAAGCAAACGCCCTTTTTTCACCTGCCTCGAGAAGTCGAACGATACTAATTGCGAGATAACTGCTCTCTCTCTCTCTCTCTCTCTCTTTGCCCTCGTGACAAATAACGCATATATACATTATATATACATATATGTAACGGTGATGTGCCCCGAGGATCTCGACGTGTCGCTCTTCATGCGATGAACAAAATATGAGGGGACCCGCTCTCTTAACATTCGCTTTTGTAGATCCGGCCGATACGCCGTATCTTAATGAAACGGCGCTTAATAAAGCTATCTTGTGTACGAAATAATAGTGTCCGCTTAAAAAGCGCGAATTGATGTTTGTTTCTTTTTTTTTTCGTCTCGTGCATATAAAACACATCGAAACTCGTGTATCTTAGGTAGTTTAATAAAGCTACATTTAATTTAATTAAAGTACACAGGTCATTGACTGCTCAGATATACAGGGTGTTTCGAGAGGAATAATCAGTATTCTAGAACATGATTTTTTGTATATATCGTTTTAAACAAAAAGGTTTATTTTGTTCTATTTTGGACAATTATAAAGATGCGACGTGTTCGATCTTAAGGGGATCCTAAGCTAACCTAAGTTTCCTTCCTGTTTAGAACGCTTCGCCCTTTGTTAATATTAATACTTTAATTTGTACAGGAAAAAGATTTATCAATCTGTATAGTCTCATATATCTAGGTTGCAGAATTCTTGAATTCGTCTAATTTTAGGTAAAAAACAATTCATATAGCTAATAAATTGATTTATAGTTTATCTAACCTCACATTTTATCGATAAAATAGGACGGAAATCACAGATTTCTCAAGAACGTTTAGGATCACCATAAGAATGAATACATTTATTAACTTAGCCAAATTCTATGAAATAATTACATTAAATTTCAATCTTACAATAAATTTTAATATTTAATAATAATTAATAAATAATAATTTAAATTAATAATAATTATGGTAAGAGTGAATATACATTTTAATTAGCACTAGAAACTAAACATTTTTAACTAACGTATGACTTATCAAACATAACTTAATGTTTACATTTGTAATAGGAAATTGACGAAAATTTAATACAATTATTTTATATTATTTCATATTATTTTATTCTTTAGTTAAGTTAATAAATGAACATATTTGTTTTTAAGAGTGAACACGTATCTTTAACCATCCAGAATAGAACATATGTTTATATAAACTGTTTTTGTTTAAAATAATGTATATATCTTGGAATATTGATCATTTCTCTTGAAACATCTTATACAAGGTGACACATTTTAATTCATCCACTCAAATATCTCAAAATCTGTAAATTTTAGAAACATATAACTATTTGGACTTTTAGACAAAAGTTATTTATTTTAGAAAAGTTATTTAATTTGAAGGGGGACACATGATAACACAAGTTTCATTTAAAAAAAAACATAAATAACCTTCAAATGATTTTGAAAAGCGCTCTTCAGAAGCGCTCTTCAGAAGCGCTCCTTCAAATCGAACAATTTTTATCTAAAAAATCCAAAAAATTTTTTTCTAAAACTTACAAGTTTTTAGATATCATATTTGAGATTGGATAAATTAAAATGAGCCACCCTGTGTATAAAAATTTACAATTAAAAAATTCCAAAGTCACGCACGTCCTGTTGATCGTATATATATATATATATAACATAGAAAATGATGATCTCTCGACTCGATCGGAGGTCTATTAATTTTTAACATATTAAATGAACATCGGGAATACGCGCTAATTAAAAACCTCTAATTAAAATGTTTTTTTTTCTCCCCGAAGTCCAAGTCCGAGATTAACCGAACGATCTGTTATCTGTCTCATTCGAGTTACATTGTGCTCCAAAAGAGAAAGAAAGAAAGAGATAGATTCACATAAGGAGCCGGATGAAAGTGCATGCGTGCAGGGCGATAAGGGCGATGCACGCGAGGCTAGTTTTCGTACACGCACACGCATACATATATATATATATATATATATATATATATATATATATGTATATACAAAACACGCACGCACGTCTTTGTCGCGGAAATGCGAATTCTCACGCTCGAGGTAATATTCATAATACGATGCCATTAATTACTCATTGTCTTTGCAACAGAACACATTCTATTCCGCTAATTCCTTCCCTCCCTCTCTCATATAAGTGCTTTTCTATCTTTCCCTCCTTCATCTTTCGCATTCGAGCAAATCGTAATAAGATACGCAATCTCACTGCGAAGCATGGGCGTCCGCAGGATTTTTTTCAGGGGGAAGGAGCATAATTAAAATTTTTTGTTCTTACTTAATTTTTTAAATTTAATATTTTTATTTTTATTTATTTTTTATATATTAAATATACAAAAATAATTTTTTTTATGATTCTAAAGGGAGTCAAATGCCCCCTCTTGCCCCCTTTTGCGGACGCCTATGCCCGAGATCTAAGACAGATAATATTTTTATTTTTATTAATTTTTTATACATTAAATATGCAAAAATAATTTTTTTTATGATTCTAAAGGGGGTCAAATGCCCCCTTTTGCCTTCTCTGCGGACGCCCATGCCGCGAAGGTGTGATATGCGTGCGATGTGGCCTATTATTTTTTTTCCTTTTCCTTTTTTTCATCCACCTTATTACGATTTCCTTCCAGCGGACGAAAGATTGGCGTATCCTTTTTGTATATACCAGAAGACGCCGGAAACGGGCGGCGGACACACACATAATCCCGCGCATATGTATGTAGAGAGGCAATTAGAGATAAATTATTCATTAAACCGAACGCGTATACACGTACATTATACATATATGTTCGGTAATGTATTAAATAACGCGCACCTTGCGTCAACAACGTGAAAAGATGCGAACATTGCGTTCGCGTGATACGCCGGTTACACGCCGGTCGAATCTGACATGGGTATTGTTGGCCTTTTAATTCGGCCAATTATCGATACACGCTCTCCTCGTATACCCTGGTATACATATTATACGAGAACGTTAATTAATATAATTTAAACGCCGCGTCGATCTGTTATGTGCGCTTAGCGCGGCGGAAAGATGCGGAAGAGATACGTTTATTATTCTTTAAACGATCGACAATTGTGTGTTAGGTCTCTTATGCGAAGACGAATATATTTAAAAAAAATAATAATAATTTTTTTAAACTGTGAATTTATGTCTTGTTTTTTTAGGGCTACACGCCGCTGCATATCGCCATGCAATTCGGACATGAGAATATATTTAATCTTTTGGTTCAAGTGTACGGTGAGTATATGTATACATGTGTTTACGCGAGAGTTTCTCCTTTTCTCGTTCTTTTAAATCGAATCAGTGAAAATGGCACTAATTAAAGCAGCGACAAGATTTCACTGATCAACGAAAACATTCAGACTCCTTTGGTTCGTTTAACGGATTAAATGATAGCAGGGTTGGGTTAATAATTAGTTAATTAATTTAAAAGTTAATAACTTTTAACTTAGTTTATAGTTAATTTAAAATGTATTAATTTTTAACTTCAACTAGGTATTTTTGATCTTAAACTTATTAACTTTTTTTCTAAGTTTTTATCTCATATATTATAATATGATAAGATAGATTTTAATATCATTGAATACATTAAAGATAAATATAATTAAAAGCAAAATAAATTAAAATATGTATTACAAAAAAATTAACAAGATTTTTGATAAAGTTTAAACAGGTATATTTCTTTAACAAAATATATTGAATTAATTTTATTTATATTATAAGACAAAAAATTAAGAATTAATATGAGTAATATTATAATTAAAAGAAAAATAAAATATTTTTTTACTAATTTATTAGAAAAATAAAATTAAAATGTGTGTGCACATATATATATACAAATAAAAATTAACAAGATTCTTGATCAAATTTAATATTTTTTAATAAAATATATTAAAATTATATAATATAAATTAATTTTATTTTTATTATATAATTTTATATTACAAAATACGTTTTAAAACATTACTAATTTTTTCAGTGGTTTTTTCACTGTTCAGAGTATGCTATATATATTAACAGAAATCATTTTGATCAATGACACTGATTTTATTGAAAAGAACGAGATATAGAAGGCAGAAAAGCGCATCATGAGCATAACATTTTGTACATTTTTCAACATATTTTTTGAAAATATATTTACAGGCGCGAATCAGGACATACGTGACTACAGTGGTAGAAAAGCCAGACAATATCTGGTCTCGCAGGAGGCAGCAGTCAGCCAGGACACGTTCCACAGTGAGTACACTCTATTTCTCCCTTTCTCACTCTTTTTTCCTCTAAGAAAGAAAACGCGCTACTTAGGGGAACGTGAAGCAACTTTTGTAAATAATTCATAGAGGGTTAAATTCTTTCGCGCGCGGATTTTCAGATGGTCCTCGTAATCTCATCTATGATAGATTAACGTCTACAAATTCGTGTTGCGAATTAGCGGCATCTTCTCGAATACCGTAAAATCGTATTTAGAATATTAATCCAATTTTGTATCATATCGATCTTCCCCGCTTTATAAAAACGCTCATCTATCCATCGATCTTTTATCTCGTTTATTTAAGAGGAAATAGTCAATTTATTCTCTTAAACTGAATCAATGAAAATGTGATTGATTAACGCATCCATAAGATTTTTAAGATATGGTAAATTCACAAAAAAATGAACAAGACTCGGATAGTTTTTTAATCAAATAAATTGCTGTGAATTTATTTTATATTATCTAAGAAGCATTTTTAAAATATCATTAAATAATTAAAATAAAAATAAAATTGAAATTAAAATATAATTGAAACTAATATAAAATAAAATATTTAAAATTAAAATATGAATAAGGCCATTCCCATACAGCACAAAATATTTTTAAAATGTTTCTATATCCGCTTTTTCATGTTTAAAAAATATTTTCAGAAATATTTTTGAATATAGATTTAAACTAATATTTAAAAAATAGGTATTAAATATTAAGGAAAATATTATCTGAGCGATAAAGAAGAACATTTTTAAAAATATTTTTAAAAGTTTTTTTAAATATTCTAAAAAATGTTATCACAAAAAAAGTTTTAAAAATATTTTAAAATATTCCTAAAGCTATTTTAAAATGTTTTTATGCAATATTTTATAAAAATATTTAGAAATATTTTTTAAAAACGTTTATAATATTTTGTGCTGTATGGGTTATTAATTAATTCTTCCACTGCTTATCAGTGATAACGCGCCAATTTAATTGAAGAGAATATATTGACGGAAAAGGAAGATTTCACTAGAAAGTTTTGTAAATTATTCGCGCGTTAGTTCCTTTCCCACATCTTCCAATTTGCGACGAAATTGCATCAAAGTTAATTCCTGGGAACACATCGAATTCTTCTTTCTTTTCACTTATTAACGATTGAGAGATATACTTTTCGTCCTGCGCGGATATACATATGCAGGCTGCAACGAAGAAAGAGTAGTTTGCATAACAAGTAGTTTGAAAACAAAAGACATAATCGTCGCCTGGAAGAGAGAAAAAGAAAAGGTGTTTTAAAGGAATTCTCCGTTTCTCTCTCTTTCCACGAGAGTGCGCCTCGAACTCCGCTCGCGGAGAACCAATTACGCTCTCGAAGTAATATACCTGTAATTTACGCCGCCTTGTAAGTGTGTCCCGTCAGAATTCCGTTGCTTTCCGCCCCGTATATCCCGTGTCGATCATTGTTCAGCGTTTCTCTCTCTTTCTCTCTCTCCACGCTCGTGTTTTGCGGCATTCGCCTCCTGTCACGCTCCGGCACGATCAGCTGATGGCTATTCCGCTTTTAATCTTATACAGGGTGTATTCAGCATTTCAGGACACGATTGCACACATAATTTTTAACAAAAAAGTTTATATAAATAGGTGTTCTATTGTGGACGGTTAGAAAGATTATAGCGTGTCAGGAATCGGCATTATTGATTATTCTTACAATTAGGAATATTTTCAGCTTTAAGGATAACGTGAATAATCAATAAAGTCAAAAATTATTTGATTATTCGATTAATCAGAAATAAAAGTCAGAATATTTGATTACTCTTAATTAATCGGTAATTAAAATTGAAAATTATTTGATTACTCGATTAATCAGTAAAACAAGTCGAAAATTATTTGATTACTGTAGTAATCAAAAATTTTTCAATAACTTTTCATCACTGAGAGTCAGATCAGATTTCTTGATTATTTAATTAACTAATAATTTATCAAACGTAAAACAATACACACAGAAAAAAGGGAATTAATGAAATATTTCTCCAGTAAAATTAGTTGAATTGGACCTTTTTTATGAGAATATCAAGTATTTTTTATTTTTTACGTGCTCCTAAAAATACAGTTTGTCTTTGACAGTACTCTTTTTTTCAAAGTTGTCATCTGTCAGATGATAGTAATTAAGTAATTTTCGACTTTCATTACTGATCGATCGAGTAATCAAGTAACTTTCGATTTTGATTACTTATTGTTAATCGAGTAGTCAAATAACTTTCAACTTTAATTATTGATTAATCGAGTAATCTAATAACTCGATTTTGATTACTGATTAATCGAATAATCAAGTAATTTTCAAATTTAATTACTGACTAATCGAATAACCAAGTATAATTTTCGATTTTGATCACTAATTATTCGAATAATCAAATAATTTTTGTTTTGATTGCTAATCGAATAGTCACATAATATATTTTTCTGATAAATATTAATTATCAAGTATAATATTAATTTATTCTTAATTTTTTGCCAATATTTGCAGCGTGTTCAATCTTAAGAACGAATATTTATTAACTTAATATAATCAAATTCTGTGAAACAATTAACTTAAATTTTTCTCGTTTTCTGTTACAAATGTAAACATTAGATCATGTTTGATAAGTCGTGTATTAGTTGAAATTTTTTATTTCAAGTGTAATTAAAATGATTTATATTCACTTATGCCAAAATAATTAATAATCAATTTAAATTATTATTAATTATCCAAATTTATTATAAACTTACAATTTAATATAATTATTGAATAGACTATGTTTCTACTAAATTAATAAATGTATTTATTTTTAAAATTGAACACGCTATTTTTATAACCATATTTATATTAACAATTTTGTTTAAAATGTGTCCTAGAATCCTGATAATTCTTTCTGAAACACACCGTATAAGAAAATCGCATGATATCGCATTAGTATTTGTACTTGTGAGCTAATACACCGATTTAGACGGATTGATTAATAATAGATAGATAGACTACTTTTATAACTTTTTCGTTGTAACTTCTGCTGCATACTAAAAAAAATGCTTTGCACGTCTATCTCAGCACACCTTCGTGTTTCTCTCTCTATCTCTCAGTATATTATATAATTAACTCTCAGCAGCATGCGACAATACTGCGACCGACAATACTGCTCCCTCGGGATTTCTAGGATACCTTTCTGTCGCTTTAGATTTAAGGTACGTAGACACCGGGTCGGGAAAATGTATGAACGCGTTGCACATTATATCTATATATATATAGTATATGCATATATACACACATATGAATTCGCCGGAATGGAAATGGTGTTAACGGGCTCTCCTAGGGTGAGTACTTCGGGGTTTCTGGAAGTATTCTTCTGTTGTAGGGATTACTGCTGCCGCTACGCTCAGGCAAGTTCAGAAGCGCATCTCCGCTAAAGTAGTAAAGCGCTTGTGTCGCCAGATTAAAGTACGTAGGCGCACCTCTTAGAGTAACGTATGACTGTCACTTTTCTCTGCACGCACACATGCACACCTCTCTGACGTGAGTATCTTGAAGTTTCCACGGGCCTCTCCCTGCGCGAACTGTCAGATATGTTCGAGGATGTTGTTCGCCAAAATTTAAAATTTTTTTTAATTAAAAAATATTTTTTTTGATTAAAAAAAATAAAGAAAAAAGTAGGTTTGAATAAACGAATCTGTTCGTCTCGCTTCTGGTATTTTGTAAGGAGTCTTCGTCTTCCATTATTTTGTCACGCTAAATGTGTCTGAAATGTGTTAAAACGTTTAGCTTTGACGTGGTTATTTTAATAGTACTATAATTAATTGTATCGTCCTGTATGAAATACATTTTTTTCTTTTAGGTATTATTGAAATTAGGTTTGGTAATAGCTGCTAAATGATTGAATAAATACATGTTACAATAATGTTATTGAAGTTAATAACGTATTCAATTCAGAGAATCTAAATTTTTTAATGTGTAGATTATAAATTTGGTTTGTTTAATTAAACTTTAATGACTGTTACTAAATTTTGATACTATAAAAACTTAGATAGATTTGATAAAACAGATTTGGTAATTATTATAAAATATTTAAAGACAATTTGTTCTAGATTTGGTAATTGGTTAAAAGCTACTCATAAAATATTTCTATATTTATATATATTAGTTATATATTTGAACATTTATATTTTACATATTTTATCATATAAAAACTGTAATAAGTTTCTCCTAGTGACAGGTAATGAATATCTGATAAAGTTGAGTTTAATGTAATCGAGCACTTATCGAATATTTGACTATACAATCATCAAATCGGGTATTAAATATTTAATAACTGTAACTAAAATATTTAATTGATTCAATTATAAGCTAAATTCGTTTATAATTGAATCAAGATAAATATTTAATATTATTAAATTAAATAACGCACATATAATTGTGAAATATTTAATTGAATGCATTTGGCAACTATTACTAATCAATTTCTTAGTGTAAAATTTCTTTAAGTATCTTTACTATTTAATATATATATATAACTCAATATTAATCGGAGGCAATATAACATTTTTGCGCGAATCGTCAAAGAGTGGCAGTTGTACATCAAGTTTCTGGCGTCGTAGATAAATAATGTTATGTATAACTGGCAATACATGTGTATGTGAAGCGAAATTAATCTTCAAACTTACATTTTTTTTAGCGAGTGACGAAAAAAAAGAAAACATAACGATGTATTTTCAATTACAAGTGATAATAAGACTCCCTTTCGGAACCTTTTGCGATTTATTTGTTATATAAGATACTTTGTTTCACATCACACACCGTTGCTATTATTTGTTATTGTTCTTGTGCGATAGCGTTATTGTACGTAAATAAAGCATGTATACGCACTCAAGCATGAGAAACACACGTGTGTCTCACTCCAGTTTGATTCTCAGCATCACTTTTGTCGGTTTCATTCGCACACACGGAATTATAATTATTACACTTAGTAACAATGACAGGATGTTATAATAATTCTCGAAAGGGAAAATAGGTTCCAATTTTTTTATACTAACTTATTTAACCGTATATATTAATTTCTTTATGTATAGGGGAGAGAGTTTTCCTCTCTCTCTCTCTCTTATCTTCCTATACCTAACATATTATATAATAGCGCGGATCACATCATTAATTATACAAAATAACTCCTTTGTTACGACACGATTAATTTTTAATTGCAGATTTGTTTTATTAACATAAATTATATAATCTCGCTTCTATTTTAAATTTATCAAATATAATTAAATATAATATATCTCTTCTAACACACAAAGTATACTAAAAAAAGTAGTTTTTTCTTTCTCTATTTTATTCTTACTTATCAATCTCCCAATTTCTTGCTACGTACGAGATCGCAGTTTCAAATGATTTTCTATTTTATTTCAGAGATAAAAGCAAGGAAAAAGCATGCAGGTAAGAAATTTAGTAAAGACTAACTTGGCGTATGAGACAAGCTAATAGATTATATATTAACACATAGTATTTATTTAATCTTCTTTTCGTCAAACCTGTAACTTGAGTAATTCTGCTTATTAATTGCATAATTATTAGCTTCTAACAATCATTTTATAGTAGAATTAACGTAGAGCAAAGTTAAAAATGATCAGAAATACGTCTCTCTTCCTTTCACCCTGTCGGCTTCTTCCGCAAAGTTATGTATTTACTAAGGTGAAGAGTTTAGCGGGAGAGAAAAGCCCTTGAGCGCCGTAATAGAACGATTTATTGAATATATACAGAGAAAGATCTTGGTTTCCTACGAATTGGCTCGTTGAACGTTCGCGTGAAACGTACGACGGAAGCCTTCAGCCAGTTCCTGGGTGTGGCAACCAGCAGTACGGCTAGCAGCAACAACGAGAAGATCCACAAGTCGTGGGGATCCGCAGATAACGTTCAGGTATATCATTTTCCTGGGTTCTTTAACGTGTCTCTCGGGATAATAATATATAATCTATCCGGTGGAGAAGTTTCTCTGATTGATATAGAAAGATGACCCCGCTCACAATTCTTATGGAAATTGGATTTGGGTGGAATTGGCTGTTTTCCTCATATACATTATAGTTTATAATCTGCTGAACAAGAAATTTAATGAGTTTAAAACTAAATAACAGAAGTTAATTACCAATTCACAGTTAGTCAAACACGAAAAATTTGGGCTTCTCTCCGGTGGAAAAGTTTCTCTGATTGATATAGAAAGGATCCCGCGCGCAATCCTTATGGAAATTGGATTTTGGTGGAATTGGCTGTTTTTCTCATATGTTATAGTTTATGAACGGCTGATCAAGAAAAGTAATAGGTTTAAAACTAAATAATAGATAGTTACTGTTACTAGTTTATAGTTAGTCAGACACGAAAAATTTAGGCTTTGCGAGTTGTTTGACTGGCCTCTAATTCAAAACTGTTCATTATTTAGCGCTGAAGTTATTGCATCTTTTGTTCAGGTCAGAAACTGCAATATATAAAAAAACCAGCTAATTCTGAAACCCAATTTCTCAGAAAAATGATTGTGAGGGGGCTTTTATAAAATTTTAAACGAAAATACCTGAAAAATCAGAGAATTTTTTTACAAGATTTGAATAGATTACTCTGTTCTTGTGAAAATGTAGAAAAGTCGAGTATTATCTTTGAATGAACTGGTGTAACGCGAAATCTAAGATTTCATACAGGTTCAAAAACCTCACCTTAATCCTATATAATATTAAATCTTGGTAAGATCAGCTGGTTTTCTCGTATGATGTAGCTTATGATCTGCTGAGCAAAAGATATAATAAATGTAAAGCTAAATTCTAATTTACAGCTACTCAAACTATGAAACTATATTATATCTTTTGTTCAGCAGGTCACAAGCTACAATATATAAAAAATATATAAAAATCTAGTCAATTCCACCAAATTCAATTTCCACAAGAATTCTGTGGGGTTATCTTTTTCCACAAAATATAGTATATATATTACAACATATATATTAGGGATAAAAATAGAGGGGTACGCTTTCATAATTATATATTGACTGATTAATAAACAAATTAATATTTATGCTCTCTTTTGATTTTTTAAATGCGCAATATTTATAAATTATTATTATATCACATGTCTTCTCTTCATTTCTCAAGCTGGACCAGAAACTGATGCCACCACCAAAGTACGGACCCATCAAGAAACGCAAGAGCAGACGACCGCAGGACTTCGGTTCGTCGCAGGAGCAGCAACAGGCCACCAGTCAGCCGACCACCCCGTTACTGCAGGGCAAGGTCAGCCGACCGAACCGGGCTATTCAGCGTCGACCTACGTCCACGACATCCATCGGCTCCATCAGCGCGTCCGGCAACGTTCAGCAAAACGACTCGGACTCGGACACGGCGTGCGGCTTCGACTCTGCTTGGCGAGGATCCGCGCAGCTGTAATTCCTGACCGTCGCATCGCCTGCATGATCATTCGTATGCATAAACGGACTTATAGGAAGAGATTTTGAGGAGCCTCGAGAACCTCAGCGATCCCTAATAGCACAATATATCCGAAAGATATTCAGAGGATATTCAGAGGATATCCTCAGGATGTTCTCTGAACGTCTTCGGAATATGTGTGCTGTTTAATATACTTTGGACGATTTTTTTATTCGTCCCAACATCTGAAATGAGGATCTATGCGTGCGAAAAGTTTATTATGAATAAAGGACGATCCTGGAAACATTTCTTGGCTTTTCTAGATCTCACATGTCCGATTATGTTTTGATAAATTATGATGCGACACAATATGCCTCTGAAAGATTATTGTCTGTTTTGTAGATGTAGTTTATTCTTGCAAAATTTCATCAGTGATATTTATTTGATGTTTTCTTTAATAAGTTAAGTTAAGTGTATTTTTTATATTTAAGTAGATAATTTGTATCGATAAATTCTCGTTATGTTAAGCTTAGCATTTTGGTATTCTTAATGGTATTCATTCTTATTTTTAAGCTAAATTGACGTATAATATAAATTTGATTTAAAATATGTTTTACATACATAAATATAGGAATACATTTTATGTATTTATATCTATATATAAAAATATATTTTTTTATAGTCGCGCAGAATTTAACCTAAGGAAGGAGGGAATACTTGATATATTTGAATACGCTTATCTATTGTAGTAAGGTATATAAATTTAAAAAATGGATTTAAAATTCATGTAGCAAATCTTTATAATTTTTCATGTTCTTTATAGTTTTCATTTGAGATATGCATTTTGTAACTTTGCCTTCACAACTTTGTCATAGAATATATTATACTGTTCACATTAACATCCTGTAAACTATAGATTCTTGTAACAATGTGTTATTTATTATATGATTATTAACAAGGTATTAAATGATTACATTAAGAAGACAATTGTTTAATGCACATTTATCAATAAAAAGTGTTAATAATTATATATCACAATTAAGTATACAGGAATAAATTATTATCTGACCAGATGTATTATTATATATCTTATTTTCGTAATATTGTAATATGTAAACAATAAATACATTATATTTCAAAAATATTGTAAAATATGTTTTATTGACTATATATGAAAATTAAAATAAATCAACAAAGTAATATACAAAACACAACAAGATTAATTTCTTTCTCTTTATATATATTTAAATATTTTTTTAACATTTAAAATTATAGTACATCTAGCATATCTATTCTTTTATGCAGAGACATCTTTACGTGATTCTAGAAAATTATTCTTGAACTCTGAAGATAATTAATTGTACTCTTTGGATAATTTTCATTTCTAGTATATGCTTTGAAAGTTAGATGGAATCACGGTGATTTTGTGACGTCACAAGAGTGACAGCTGACAGTTTATGCATTTCTTGGAGTCGCGATGAAGCGACGTAAATGTTAAAAAAAAAATTATTTTTATACAACGAGAGACGAAATTTTACCCTTATGAAAAAATGTACGATATATGTCATCCTAGTGTGAGTAAGAACTGTACTTTATTCAAATAACCAAAAAAAGAAACAAAAATCTAAGTTGTGTAAGGATGTAAAAATGCTTGTTTTATAATTTTGTTGCATACTTACAGTATTATCACTTGTGCAAACTCGGCTGCAATGATCCTGTGAAAACAAGCACTGCTTTTTACGTTTACATTGAATTGTGCGAAGGTATTGTATACAAGTTTGGAGCATATATATGTAATTCAGTTGTAAATTGATGTGCAATTTATTGCTACAATGTTTTAAAGCGAAAAGATTCTGGGATGTCAAATATAAGTATAAGGAGGAACTTGATTTGTTCTACTTCGAGGTGAGAAAAAGGGAGCACTCTCCGCTAGAAATCTATATACCTTGGCCAACCAAGTATAATATAACCATCGATAAGATTGAGAAGATGCAACAGACATTGCAAAATGAACGGTATAAATTCTAGGATTTTATTTTTTATAATTCTAATGTATATTTTAAGGTATAATGTATTTTTATATATATATATATATATATTTATATTTTAATGGATATTTATAGATGTAAATAAATATATACTATATATATGTTAAATAAAATAATAAAATAAAATAATAAATATACAATTAAATTAATAAATTATATGTACCAAATTAATAAATATATACTATAAAAATACATTATACCTTAAAATATACATATATATAGTTACCATATATATAGTACCTATTGTATTTTTATAGTATATATTTATTAATTTGGTACATATAATTATTAATTTAATTGTATATTTATTATTTATTTTATTAATTTAATGTATAATTATATTTTATAATTATAATGTAACTCTATCCACACACTTACTTAAATTTATATCCCACAGATTGACATTTGTATTAAAATCTGAGGATAGTAGCAGCGTTTTATATACAATAAGTGCTGGTCTTGTAAAACCGGCCACTCCAGAAGCAACTAAGCAGTTGAAGGAAAGAGAAGAGAAGAAATATAACTTGGAGACGGAAATCCGAAGAAATACGTCGCATTTATATGAATTGGCAAAAACTATAGTTCATGAAACAAAGGATCAAAATTCCGGTCCAGCTGTAGAATCTTCGAATACAGATTCCAGTCTGGAGATATTATGATACTTTTTCTATATGCAATATTGAATTTTGACATAATATGTATTACTGTCATATGCTTATTGTATTACTGTGCTTTCTTAATTGTGATAATGTCATATACGAATTAATTACATTTTCTTAAGGTTTTTCTCTTTTTCTCTGAGAAACACAAGGAATATATATATTATAGAAAATATATATAATTCTCATGTTTATTGTGTAATAAACAACTAAATGTGACGATAAAAGAGGGTGTAAATAAAAAGTAGATGAAAAAAATATTATTTAGTTTTTATTTTTTTAAAGTAATTTTCACATATATGCGCGCGTATAATGCAGATTTTGAGAATACTTCTAAGGATTGCATGTAATTGTTTAATAAAATGATATGTGTGTAATAAGCTGCCACTGCAAATATATATGCATTGAGAATAAATTAATTCTTAAAAAAAATCCATCTAGTCGTAGTACTCTCGTGTATTAATTAATTAGACACTACAAAATATACGAGGCACATAATTTTTTCTTTGCTTGTTATAAAATTAATGATAAATACAGCAAACAGAATTTATAGTTAAACTTATATCTAGTAATGCTACGAAATATTATGTATATATAAAAAATATATGTAAAGAAATAATCTAATAAAAATTCTTATGAATTAAAAGTAAAAATTATCTACAAAAAAAAAGACCATATGATATTTGTATATATGTACATATTCTGCGTCTTTAAATCATCGCATTTTCAACCACACATTTATTCCAAAGTTCATTTAAATGATGTAATTTCTGCAAAGCTGCTTATGTATATATAATATCAGTGAAAAGTAATTATTCACACGATGATGTTTTCTTATAACGTATGTTAATCTACGCTATAAAATGCAAATGGATATTTTATCATGATGTAAAAGTATTTTCATCTGAAATTATTTATAAGATTTTCATACACTTTGGGGCAGTTGAGAGCTGTATAAAAAAAATTGATATTTGTATAATGCTACGAGATATAAAAATAATGTACATATGTATTGATAGGTATCTAGATGATCTTACACACTTTTATGAAATTTAAAAACAATCTTAATCTCAATGTAAATTTTTAGAGTTGTTTCCATTGTATTACAAAAATTAGGCTAATAATCTCTCACGTGTGACGTATCTTTGATAATTATAATCATGCCCTACACCTTTCTCCATTTTATTGATAATGTGTAAATTTTAGTGAAACTCCTTATTTCAAAGTGCCATAATAATACACGTGTAAAAAGATTAGCAATCTTAAAACTTATATATACAATAATAATGGTAATAATAATAGTATAAAAACCAGGCACGTTTAAGATCCTGTGTTACTTCACATACGATTTAGCTGCCACTGTTTTATAATAATGATTCAAAATCGATCATCGATATTTCTATAAAGATTGGAACCATACCCTTCCTTTGTATAATAATTATATATAAAATAGATACCAAAAAGTGGTTATCAATTCACATAACTGCTGTAAGGCAACTAGAGAGATCTCGAGAGTTTCTCGAATCTATCGCTAGTGATACAATTAATTTTCGTAAAATTCTTGATATTAAAAAGTTTCACAAATCATTCTAACAATTATATATATGTACGCCTTGTTAATTTTAAATGAGAGATAGTAAACAAACAAAATTTGGTAGATTTCATAACAATCTGTCTACAACCATAATATTTGTAATATTAATAGAATAAATTTATAATATAATTTAATAAGGAACATTCCGATTGCGTTTAATAAAAATAAAAAAAATAAATTGTAATCTTTGAATAAAATTAAATAAGTTACATCGTATCACGGTATGCATAAAAACTACCAAGTTTCATTTGAAACACATTTTCGTCATTTGTATTTTTATAAGGTCCGAGTAATTCAATATTGTAAGATAAAAATAAATGACAAATTGAAAAAATTATATATACAATTATCGCATTAATATCCAGGGAATTTTCTATATTATATTGTATGTTAAAAATCGTCCAATCATCATGCAAAAGTATATGGATTCCATTTAAATTGTGTTTATGTATGTGTGTGTGTATATATATGAAAGTTCTAGAAACGATTAAATCTCTTATGTAGAATTATTAAATATTAAAATTATCGTATGTGTGTAGCATCTATGAAAAGAAAGAAAAATGTTGCAACAATTTTAGAGAAGAAAAATTAATTTACAAACTTTTTTCACAAAATGTAAAATCTAACAAACAACTACTTCAACATAGTTGCATAATTTTCACAAATCGTTTTCTAGAAAATCAGAACAAAATCTTAAAAGACGTTTAAATATACGCTCATATATCAGAATACGAACTTGTCTTACAATAGTATCTTCTTGTATTGCAAAGTTAATTAAAGTATTGATCGTATAATACTACACCACAATAGCCGAGCTATTAAATATAGAAATATTATCCAGTATTATCATCTTCGCAAAATATTTGGTTATATATTTATATATACATAATATATATTTAGCACATATGAACTAGTAAAACTATATCTTATCTCATAAACTAGAATATGAATGTACATAACTAAAATAACGAAATATAGCAAATATATATAATTGGATACGTGTTAAAAGATTCTTATATGCGACATAAACGTGCTGCTTCACACAATGTCATAGAGCTCATTATATATTGTCTAATGTCACCATAATCTTGCACAAAACTAGCTATACGTCAATCAATTTAATTTCCAATTATCATAATGAATAGTGGATACGATAAGTTTATATATTAGGGCTCCTGGTTCCTCGTCGACATGTTGGAATTGTGACGTCAGAAGTGAAAAAACATTCTTAGATGCCATTTCAAAATATCTTTTCGTTTAAAAATGGCATCTAAGAATTTCCAGCATGCGTTCTCTCTGACGTCATAATCTAACATAGCCGTGGCGAGGATCTAAAGAGTCTTAATAATAATTAAAAGATGCATGAATGTTATCTGTATTATGATCATGTTGCATATATATATATATAGCGCCATTTCGATTTCAATTCTTTATCACATGAGCATGAGCAAGTTTCGCTACATTTTGATTTATTATTTTATGTTTTCTCTATGAATGTGTTAATTATTGTTTGCCTTTTATGATTATTTTTTTCGTTTTTAAAGCTCTACAAAGATATATAAAATCTTCGAGTAATTGCATGTGTGTTACTGTACATAATAATAGTATATATATATATATATATATATATATATATATATATATATATATATATATATAGATAGATATATATATATATATATATAACAAAATGTTGAAAATAATACATCTCTTCGCGCTAAGGACAATGATACATATTTAATACTAGCGACAGGATAGTGTTTGAAGAGATCACTTATGTGCAAATATAATCTAAAATTTTTATTTGTTTTTCATGCGAAAAAAATTCTTTGTCAAAAGTTGGTAGACTTCATCGCTTTTTCCTTCACTTGACATAGTTGATGACATAATTTTTGATCAGTTTTAAGAATACTAATATCCAAATAATATCCGAAATAGTAACCGGATATTCCCGAATATGGACAGCACTATTAAATATTTCGTCAACTGAATAATCGTAAACAATCAACTATTCGCATAATATATATATATATATATATATATATATATGTGTGTGTGTGTGTGTGTGTGTTTATTTAATATGAAACTGGAGATTGTAAACTCCAAGTATCATGTACCTATTAAAAGTATGTAACTCATAATGGAGAAAACCTGAGATTCGATAAGATAAAAAAATTTCTCTTGTAAATCTGTTCTACTGCGATCGTTAATATAGTATTAAAAAATAAGAAATATATGTATACATGATGAGAGATTTATATGTATATATGTATATGTATTGCTCAGATATAAACAAACCGCACTAATGCAGTTGCGCAAAAAATTTCATCTTGTAGTAGTAAAACTTCTTTTCTTCAATTATACGACATGCCGATAGTTTCGTCAGCGCCGATTAATCATAATGGCTAGCACCAATCAGCCATGTAAGTAAAGTCTTTGAACAGGCCTTGCTCCAAATCACTAAGAGGCCGAGGATCTTTCGGAGGTGTTAATTGTGGCTTCTCGGATGTAAACTCTTCATCGAAATTACTTACATCTTCCACCGAATGCTAATAACAAAGAAATATTTTTAATATAGAATTTTAAAATTATATCTCTCTTATGTTAGATTGTGACGTCAAAGATGAGAAAACATGCTAAAAATTCTTAGATACTATTTTCAAATAAAAAAATATTTCAAAGTAATATCTAAAAATTTTTAATGTGTTTTCTCGCATCTGACGTCACAATTCTAACATGGTGAGCCAAGAACTTTAAAACTTAATTTATGCAAAGAGATATTATATTACATATTCAAAGGATCTTGCATCAAATACATAAGATTTTAGCTTTCAGTGAAATTAGCTGTTTTTTCATATGTTGTAGCATGATTTGCTGAACAAAAGATGTAAAAGAAGTTAGAAGTTACAAGTAAGAAAATCAGCTGATTCAATTTCATCCAGGATTTTATATAAATTAAAAAATCTCGTATCATATAAAATTGAAGCTTGGTAAGATCAGCTGTTTTTCTCATATATTATTATGTTTATGATCTGCTGAACAAAAAATGTAATAAGCTCAATAAAGCTAAATATTAGATAAGTTATTGAAAAACTTGGGCTCTACGAGTTGTTTGACTAGCTGTAACTTAGTAACCATCCAAATTTTAGCTTTCAGGCTATTACAACTTTTGTTCAACAGGAAATAAACTGTAATATATGGAAAAAAACCATTAAAATCCTATGTATTTGATGTGGACTCCATTTATGCAAAAATATTAAAACAATTACTTACAATTACTGGTACAAAAGGTGGTTTTACGCGCCTTAGAAGCAAATCATCCCAAGCAATATGTCTGAAAAATGCTTGTTTCTTGACATCTTCTGCATCTCTTTCACTGCTACCTAATCTCCTGTCTGGATTCTTTCTCAATAACTATAATAATAGAATAGATTAGAAATGTATTAAAACAAGATTTAAAAATTATTCGGGTATATACGCAAATCTTAGAAATAAATTCCCTGAAGATTCCATGATTTTCCAGGTACTTTTGTTCAAAATTCCAGGTAAAATTAAAGTATTTCAAATAATACTTATAGAATACAATTTTGAAAAAAGTTTATATGTTATAAGGAAAGATATAAGTCGCTTTATATGTTATACAATTATACATAATTTTTAACATAAATGAAGTATTTTTTTAATATAATAATGTAATATAGTATTATATTATAACAAAATATATTTTAATATATATTTTATAGATAAATTTTATATTCTTTAAAACTAGATTTTAAAATCAAAGGGGCAATTTTTTAAATTCCCTGAGTTCAAGTCAAATTCTATGATAATTCCAGGATTTTTTAAGGTAGAACAAAATTCCCCGAGAATTCCAGGTTTTTCCAGGGAGTATGCACCCTGTTAAAAATTTTTTTCGAATGCTTACTCTTCTCATGATTGCTATCGCTTCCAAAGAAAGAAATCGTGGATATCGTACTTCATCGTTTACGATGGAATCAAACACTTCTTCCTCGTCGTCACCCGGGAAAGGAGACTGAAACGTTTCATTTCGTATTTTATCTGAGCGATGAAAGAGAAACGTAGATGTAATATATTTTACAAATAATAAAATTTTACCTCTCCAACAAGCATTTCAAAGATCAAGACTCCAAGGCCCCACCAATCTACAGCTCGCGTATAAGAGGTCTCTGTCAAGACTTCAGGCGCTAAGAATTCAGGAGTACCGCAGAAAGTGCCTGTCCTGTCTCCGAATCCCATGCCTTCTTTACATAAGCCAAAATCTGCGATTTTAACGTAACCTTCCGTATCCAAGAGCAGATTGTCCAATTTCAAGTCTCTGTAAAATCGAAAGAAATATTGTAAAAATTGTAAAAAAGTATTTTGTAAGAAATTCCGATTTTTAAAACTCAAAGTAAATTAAGAAAATTTTTTAATGCAGATTTTTAATACAAGTTTTTTTATTGTATGCGCTTTTTAATGTTTTCTATAGATACAAAAAAAGTTATCAAGAGTACAGTTTTCCTAGTATTTAATATTGATTAATTAATTATAAAATTAATTTGGACATTAATAATAAACGCATATATGCAAAATACATACATATATGCAAAAATATAAAATACAAATTTAACTAAATTATTATTTATTCGCTTATTAAATTATTACTTAATTATTGATCAAATAAATAAGGAGTACTAATTTTTTATTTAAATATTACCTATTAAAAATTGAACAATTTTCTATAATACTTATATAAGATCTTGATACTAAAAATAGATTGTCAATAAAAAGTCACATAAAATTTTAATAAAAACTTAAATATTGCAAAGATATGTTAAACATATATTTCTTAAGCTATGTACTAAATAAAAAAAGATTATCAGAGGCAATTTTTGAAAAAATCCTTGAATGGCAATTAAATTCCACGAGAATTCCCGGATTTTTCAAGATGGAACAAAATTCCCTAATTCCAAATTTGCAAGGTTTTTTCCAAAAGTATACACCTTGTATCACCGCAGTATTTGCTACACGTCACAATGCTAACTGATAAATAATGCATGTACCTGTAAATAATGCGATTTTCGTGCAAGTATTGCAATCCCAGAACAACGCAAGCTGAATAAAACACGGCACGTGGCTCCCCGAAAACATCGGCGTGTATATGCATCATAAGATCTCCACCGGCCGCGTATTCCATTACAAAACATACATGTGCCTATAAAAAAAAATCATTTTTTTTATTCTATCTTTCGTCTTACATCAGAAATATTGGAAAAAATATATTATCCTATATAATATATAATAAATTATATAATAATTATATAATTTATATATTATAAATTATATTATATTATATATATATATATATATATATATATATATATATTATAAATATAATAAATAATAATAATAATACCTCAGTTTGAAAGCACGCGAATAAATTCACGAGGAAAGGATGACGCGTTGTGTTCGCCACTTCGAATATTCTCTTTTCAGACAGCAACGACTCCACTTCGTCTCTAGCTATGATATCTCCTTTCTTCAAGGCTTTGATTGCGAAGTACTCTCCCGTGTTTCTGTACTGCGACAGTATCACCTTGCCGAAATGTCCGCGACCGAGAACAGAGAGCAGCCTGAAGTTCTCCAAGGTCATACCGTTGATCTGAGAGTGTCTTCTCGACTCGTAGGCACTATCCCTATACTGAAGGGGTCTGATTGGCAGTTCGTATACCTGAAAGACAAAGATATTTTTAATGCATGTACAAATGTATGTATGTGTTTTAACGCATCGTTATTAAAGTTAAAGTTAAAATAGTTTAAACAGTCCCTGTATGTACATGTCATACAAAAAAAATCATGTGTTAGTATGTCATAAAATTAAGACACTTTATACAGAGATGTATTTCATCAAGTATTATGGCGTATGTTACATTGCAATAATATTTTAATTATTCAATTTTCCATACGAGTTATCAATTTTGTTATACTTATTATTATATCTATATACATTATGTAATATTATTAATGATATAATAATATTAATATTAATTAATAATATTATTAATAATAATATTAATAATAATATTAATAATAATATTAATTAATAATATTATTAATAATATTAATATTAATATTATCAATGGTAATATTGAAGATACACATAGAGGTATACATGAACTGAAAGTTTAGTAAAGATTAGTGTACATACAAGAGTATAATTGTGTAAAAATAAAAAATGGAAATAATCTAACAGAGTGTCTACTTTTGTATAAAAAAATTCCCTGAGAATTTCTTGATCTTCCTGGTATTTTCATTAAAAATTTCAAGTAAAATAAGAAAATTTGTAGATGCAATTTGTAGATGGTGTTAGACATACATTTCTTAACAATAAAATTAAATAGATAATTTTTTTTAACTTCCTAAATCCAAATTAAATTCCCTGATTTTTCAAGGTAAAATATTTCCCTGAAAATGTACCAGGTTTTCAAGATTTTTCCCAGGGAGGTACACCCTGTCTACAGACTGAGATAGAAGAAGCATTGAAAATAAAATAAGACATTCGTTTCTTCTCCGGTGCATTACATGCAACACACATATTAAGGTAAGCAAAGCAATGTTGTGTGTACTTGTGGAGGTATGTACCTCATCCTCAGGAAACTCGACCACAGGTTGGGGCGAGGGTGTGCGTGGAGAGGGTGGTGCAATCAGCACAGGGCGGGGCTCTGTCACGAGGGGCCTCAATATTGCGCCCTGAGGCCCCCCCTTCTCCTCGTTGTGCAGAAAATCAAACTCCCTTAATGCACTCTGTAACTACATCACTACCTTCTTAGCTTACTGATGTTCGATCGAAACCTCTCGCGATAAACTTTAGAATTACCCTAGAATTGTCTCAAGTGTACACATGCATTACTATATATAGCTAATATAATTTGGATGCTAAAATGTGTATTAAAATTCTGGCTACTATCATCGTAGGGAGTTTGGAGGGAAATTGTTGCTTTTTCGAAACTGGCAGAATAATGCAAGAAAATAAAGTTGCATTTCTTTGTGAAGTCATTGATATAAATTGCCAGGAAACAGAAAGCCTGTATATTTGCACTTAATGAAAAAAAAATTATGTGTAATGACTAAAGGATATTCTTTCCAGAAGCAAGTGCACAAATTTATATATATAAACTAATACTACTATTTATATAATTGAAGAAATATATAATATATCTGATAACATGCCGCATCAAGATACATATATAGTGTAAACGCATTCATAGATTATGATTTTTTTAAATATTATATTGAACAAACTATACATTTATTTTGTAAACTATTTGGGCCCATAACCAAGATTCCCAGCCTTGAGATTGTCTCTAATACATATTTATTACTAATATTCTTATTGTAGAGTGATAAAAATATAAAAAATTATATGTCAAATATATAATATATGTAAAATAATTGTAGAATATAATTGAATTTCATACACATAAGAAAAATTACATAATAAAAAAATTGGTGACAATAGCATTCTTAGATCTTTACATTGGAAACAGAGATTGATAAATACATAAAATACACTAAACAGCAAAAAATATTGTCGTGTATCATACGTGTGTTTGAGCAAGTTTGATTTAAAAATAATAACAAGAGTATATAAAAAACAGACAAATGTATAAGGAACGCTTACCTCCTGATCTAATTTGGGTGTATGTTTAATTGGCGGCGTAGGTGCAGGTGTAGGTTTCTTCGCGACAATCGGCGGCGGTGGGGGAGGATGTTCCGGAGGACGTGGCAGAGTTGGACTACTACTACTCGTTGTTGACATTCCTAAAGGCCGCGCGCCGCCCAATCCACCTTTCTCCGGATCGGGCACTTCGCCGGGAGTCTCAGGCTTATCTTCTATCGAGGTATCAAATACTAGTTGCAGGGGTTGCGGTCCTGCGAATGAAATTGCGGACGATTTACAGGATAATTCGAGAGTCCGGCGACGGCCATTTAGCTCCAAAAATACGAAAGTTATACTTTTTTCACAGGACCACTGCTTTTGGAGATAATTGACCATTACCGGACTTTTAAACTACCCTGTACATGTATTTTCGCAAGAATATTCTCGGCAAGATTTGCCGACTCTTACCTGTTGGCGGACTCTCCGAGCTTCTGGAATTGTGCAACGAAGGCGCCGAACGTTTGAGTAGTCTACCCCAAGTCGCGACGTTTATGTTCATTTGATTCGCTCTTGGGAAATTCTTCACCTGTTGCTTAAAGATCTTCCGTTGACGCTGCAACTTAGGCTTTCGCGATATCATTGGATTCAAGAACTTGATCTCCGCGAACAGGAGGCCCTGTGGTTCCAACTGTAAGGCCATGCCGTGTCGAACGTCATCGATAAACTCCTCTAAACGTAAGAACTTGACCGCGCACAGAGATCTCCAATCTTTCCAGTAGATTCCTATTTCAAGCTCTCGTGATTTATCTAGTTCGATGGAAAACCTAAAAGTGGATACATATACATTACAATATAAAGATCATTAAATGCAATGAAAAATAGGGGGTTTCATTAAAAAAAATTAAGTTGACCTTGAAATGACTTCTAAATTTGACTCCTAGGTCAAAGTCAAAGTGTCTTATTTTGAGCTCTACAACTTTTTTTCATAGAACCACTATTTTAGGAGATAATTGGCCGTTGCCATAAATATGATTATTATTAGTTAAATATACAATTCGCACCTTTGGTCCCAAGCTTGTTGGGAACATGGACGCCAGCTAGTCTGTCCTACGGTTTGGTTATCCAATTTTATAACTGCCATAATGTCATCTGGAAACAACAAGATAGGTCGGTGACGGATCCAAAGTAACGCAATTTTTAACATTATTAGCAAAGTATTTGAAATCTCACTGCTTGTTTCGTCCTTCACGCTATACGACTTGCTCGAGCTGAGTCCTTTCACACCCTTCACGAAGCTACGTAGATCAGGACTAGCAGGATGTTCCCTCTTCGTCCGGCCAGGCACTTCTTCCGCCAAGTCTTGACATCCCATAAGCCTTACCTAAAACCACAAATCGCGACATATGTCAGAGAAAATCAATTATCATCACTTATTTCATTACACTTTCCAATTCAACGTACCTCTAATTGTCCCGTCACAGCGGCGCATCTCGATACTGAAGCTGGTATAGTGGTTTTGCCTTCCAGGGGACCGCGGAAGGGTTGCAACGATGTATAAGTAACAGGAACCGGACTGGCTGATTGTACGCTAGCTAATTCTCTCTTTAATTGTGCCGCGGTGCCGCTGTCAGGTGGTAGCTCTTGCCTTCTGAGTTCAAGGGACAGTCTGAGCAGGTCCAATTTTCTACTGGATTCCGCGAGGCTCGCCTGGGCCTATAATAATTAAAATGTGTATCACAAAATATCCTTTTACACGTAAAATAATATTTTAATATATTTAATGCTGACAGGGAATATAATTACATATATAGACACATAAGCATGATATCCAACATAATTAATATTTATTAACAGCGCAATCGATGTATACATCCTTGTTAATTTATATAAATGCTCAATTTCCAGCACAGAATGTGTTTAACAGCTCTTTTGTAATAATTTAAATTTTAAAAAAGCTATAACATACGGAATATAAATTAAACACACAAATCACATATACAAAGAATCCCGCACCAAATACATAGGATTTTGATTTTCGGTGGAATTGGCTGTTTCCTCATATAATTTGCTGAATAAAAGATGTGACAGCCTTAAAGCTAAATATTCGATCGTTATTGAGTTACAGTTCAAATAACTCACAAAATCCTAATTTTTCGTGTCCAACTGGCTATAACCATCTATTATTTAGCCTATTACATTTTTTGTTCAGCAAGTCATAAGTTACACATGTGAGAAAATCAGCTGATTTTATTTCACCTAGGATTTTATATAGGTTCAAAAATCCCGTATTAATCATATAAAATGATCAATTTCGCACGGAAAGCCAAAATCTTATGAATTTGATGCGGTGTCCTTCAATAATCGCGAATGATGGAACGCAGTTTGCTTAATAATCGCTTACAAATACCTTACAATATAAATAAACAAAATGGAAAGCTCGAAAAAGAATCGATACATTTCAAAATGGTAACAGCTAATTGCGAAACGTCAGAAGTGTCACTCTTTTCGCAACTTGAATACTGGATGACGTTCGAGTTCGCTCAACGAATAAGCCCGACCTCTTGTCCCACTCTCCTCGAAGTACCTTCGGCAGTGTTCGCACGTGCACGTCGGATTCTTCGACGGCCCGATATGATGACCGGGCTTGCGAAATGCTCGGATCACCGTCCCGAATCTCGAGGCCTTCACGATATGATCGGTTCTCTCTCCGTACGGCGCGGCGAAGGGTGACGTTACGCGGGAGGGTATGGTCGAAGGGAGCGGAGACGGGCTCTTCGACCCGAAGGGACCGATGCGATCGCGGAGAACATTAGAGTAGGGAACATAGTTGGCGGGCGTCGCGTTGGAATTCTCGGTTGGATCCTTGCGGACTCCTCGCACGATCGAGTCTCTCTTCGCGAGCGACCTGTCGTCGCCAGCCACGAAGTTCCAGCCGACCGTTTCGTCCTCGTCCTCGGAATTCTCGCTCTCTCCGGACGACCAACCTATCTCGTGCTTCTCCAGGTACTCCCTCATCTTCCTGTTCTGCAGCAGGTGCTTCCGCTCGATCTGCGGGGACCGCCAGGTCCTCTTCCTCTCGTCGCCCTTCTCCTTCGCCGACTTATCCATCCTGCGTATTCGATCGCGATCCGCGGAGTTGGCGTATTCGAAGCTGTCGCAGGACGTCAAGCCGGGTTTGCTGCGAATCAGGGACTCAATATCCGAAAAGGTGTCCTTCGACGAGGTCATGGTCGTTGAGTCGCACGGGGAAAGAGCCGTGCTGGACGAGGCGGCGGACCAGGGAGCGGAGTCGAGATCCCGTATCCCGCTGTAGGAGCTGAATCGCGAAGGATAGAGGGAGCTCAGCACCTCGTCGCTGTCGTAGCCCCTCGAACTGGCCAACGAGGGCATCCTCATCGGCGCGTTTCGAAAACTGGCGCATCGTCGTTCGGCGCTGCGCTTCAGGAACGCCTTCGCGTCCTGAAATCCCCGCGGCAAGCTGCTTGTCGCCTGGCTGTGGGTGACCTTGACGTCCTCATTCTCGAAGACCGTCATAGGTGTACCGCGCTCGTCCTCCTCGTCCTCGCTGCTCGTATTATTATTATCCGTGCTGGCGTCGTCGTCGGATCCTGTGCAGTACACGTCGATGTGTACCGTCCGCGACTTGCGCTTGCCGCTGCTGTCCTCTTTCGTCGAAGAGTCCGACTTTTCCGCGTCCACGGGAGGAGCGGAACTGGTGGTCCCAACTGACGCTGGAGGCGATCTGATTTGCTGTTGAAAAACGAGAAGATAATCGATCGATAATCTCTAAAGTAGTATACTGACGTCAAAAGACGTCAAACAGACGTCATTAAACGTCAAATGACGTCATCGACGTCATTAAACGTCAAATGACGTCATCGATGTCAAACTGACGTCATTAAACGTCAAATGACGTCATCGACGTCATTTTGACGTCTGATGACGACTCGCTTACCTCCTTTCTCTGCTCGTTAGATTTCTGGGCACCACCAGCGCCCGATTTCCTCCCAATTCTGCCACTCTTGACGGTCGACGAGGAGCGCACGGACTCGACGTCGGTGGTTTGCGAGGCCGCGTCTTTGCTAATCGTAGCGGCCTGTTGGCTGCTCGCAGTGGTCTTTTCCGCAACGCGGGTGCAAAAGTGAGTAGTGAAGGCGCTGGACGCACGTCCCTCCGCGCAGTCCTCGCAGACTTCCGGAACCGCGCTGAACTGATGACCGCGTTGAAAGAACTGGTGACAGCGTTGCTGATACGAGGAGGGTTTCCTGTGGCAGAAGTCGACGGATTCCGGGGAACTCGCGATCTTCTCGGGATTCGCGGTGGAGAGAACGATCCTGCAGGTGCTCTTGCACCGACGATCGTACTGTTGCTGCGACGAACGTCGCGTAGGCAGGCTGGAATAAGCGCGCGACGATGAGAATCGTTCGCTGTTGTAGCCGGAGTCGTTGTTGCCCGACGAACTCGAACGGGGTAGGGTGTAGGCTCTGTCGTCCGACTTCGAGGACGGCCTCTCGGGCGGCGTGGACGTGAACAGGATGTTTCCCCGTTGGAAGCCGAAACCGCCGGAGGATGACGGCAACCTAGAATCGGTGGCGCTCGACGGCGGCAACGTGCTGGACGGCTCGCTCGTGTTCCAACGACATATCATGCGGATGCCGCCTGCGTCCGCGGTCGTGGTAGTACCCGGTGGCATTTGCACGGTCTCGGAGGTCACCGTGTCCCCATGACGGATGGTAACTTCGGCGCGGACCAGCCACGGTGGCGCTGATTGATCATTCGTGCCACCCTGGCTCGCCGAATTGTCACAACGTCCGTACATTTCGCGCCTCTCCTTTGTCTCAACCTTCGCCTCGGGACATGATCGGTCTGCAATTCCAGGAAATCATCCGCCCTCTTCTTCTTTTTGTCCTCTGTTAGGTGACGATGATCTGGTTCCCTCGTCCTTCTCCTATTCATGGATTTGTAGTCCCTCTCTTTTTCCCTACACAGAGTTCAGCTGATGATCACGGATAACATTTGAAACTTGGAATCATTCGTCCTCTTCTTCTCGTCCTCCGTCAGATGACGATCATCTGGTTTCCTAGCCTTCTTCTGTTCATGGATTTGTAGTCTCTCTTTTTTCCTACACAGAGTTCAGCTGATGATCACGGATGACACTTGAGGCCGTTCATCTGATTATCTTGTTCCATGCTACATGGAAGAGAGAGCTTATATAATGACGTCTCTTCGAGTTGAGTCATGTTCGCGCTACAGTCTCGTCCGTAGCAGAGTTTTTCCGGGAAGGATGGCAATACTGATGATATTGCATATCGCTGGCACTCGATCTATTTTCGGATTTCCGTATATTCAAGAACTACAACTATATAGCACGAATAGCTTCTTTTCGCTTCAACGTCGCGAAGTTTCGACTTTGAGAAGAGTCGGATTCATCGAACTGTCCATCCAACCCTGTCCATCCTTCTTCGTATTAGATAATCCTCGTGACCTGTCGGTTCGACGTTTGCGAGTTACACAATAACTTCCGCAATTGTTCCAACCATCTAGCAAGTCTCTCTCTCTCACTCTCACTCGTAAGGTAACAAACTGAGCGACGAGACGCGTATAATTAGCACGATATAAATTTGGAGCGCAACGTACAGTCGCACTAAGAATACATATCTGGAATAAGACAGCACTTTTCGGCTACCACCGACGCAATAATCATCGCGCGCAATAACTATGATACATGCACAGCAGTCATCGAGTCAGTCGGATGCCACGAAAATGCGTTGCGATCAAATCTGGCTGACAATTCGGTCCTCGAGCTGATCCTTGTGAATGGGAAATAATCTCTCGCACCTACATAATCCCCGATTTCTCCGAATAATTCACACATGACTCCGTCAGAGATGTACCATATAAAGGCCTTCTGACAGCTGAAGCTGATTTTGCGGAGCAGACATCAGTTTTCTTGAAAAACAGAGCCGGGGAGACACTCGTGGACGGCTTTTCCCAGTTTTTAGATCGTAGAAGAGTTGATGGATCCGTGATTATCCGAATAAGCGATGGATATCTTCCTGAACGAAGAAGTCACGTATATGCTCCATTTTCCTCTTCTCTCTCTCGCGGTCCACCGGTGCACACATGTCGTCGGTTTATCGCGGGATGCTCCCGCTGGATACTGGATAACGATACCAGTTCCTCCTCGGGAGACGGTAACTAAGCGCGACCCGAAAAGGCGTCACGAGATGTACGGCGGGGTGGCACGGGGGAGGACTCTATTTTGAGAGAGGCGCGTATAGAGTCGCCACCGACTCTCCGACAGGGTCCACGTCGACACGTTCTACACTGCCGACGTCGCAATCCCGGCTGTCGACGAGAGGAGTCGTAGCCGAAAGCGCATCCGGCGAAAAACGCTCTCTCATCGCCGACATCTCGCGCGAAAAAATAATCAGTCTCCAAAGATCATTCAATTATCGATGAATGACTGTTTGTCGAGGAATTTGCTTCTATTAATTGTAAATTTTTAAGTTTGAGAATTTGTATAAAATATATAAATTTCTATAAAATTATCAATTATTGTACATGTATCAAAAATTAATTTTCTTTATTAAACAGAATTAAAATAAAAAAGAAAAATTATTTTTGAATTAAAGAATTTAATAATTTATGAAAATTATTATGTACGTATATTATTATGATGTTATGACGTTAGGCAGAGATACAAAAATATTACACTGTTTTATTCGAAAATTACTTTTCTCTTTTAAGATGTATATCTTATACATATATATGTATATCAAATTTTTATTAAAATTTACACATATACATGTTACATCTTAATAAAAGAAAAGATTTTTCATTATACAAAATATTTTCTCTAGTTAATTAAATAAGTTTATATTTTTATAAAAAATATTTTTGCATAGAAAATATTTTTCTTTATAATTAATTATAAGTTTGTAATTTTAAAAATCACTATACAATATATTTCTATTAATTATTATTCTTTTCTCTTCTATAGCATCCATATAAAAAGGAAAAGGACAATAATTCTTATTATAATAATAAAAGAAAACAAAAATATGTGTATATAGTAATTTCTATAAAATTATAAACTTATTATTAACTAAAAAAATATCTTCTATATAAATATATGCATAGTATATAAATACAATTAAATATAAATATTATATAGGTACATATAATTATACATATTTTAGATTTGACCAGTAAAACAGTGGGATATTCTTATACATATGTAGTATCTGTCACTTCTTAAAAAAGACATAAATGTCGTGTTAGAAGCAGCAATTGTCCGCGCATTATAAGATCTTTTCACCGAAGAGCGGTAAAGTCGCACAGACAGTTTCCACATTATTATCGTTTCGAAACAGCTGTGTCAGAGAAGTGTGTGACGTAAATGGTTTCCTTTGGTGCAACATATATGCGCGCAGAGATTTCCGGATTCTTCCGCTTCTGCTCCTTTCTTCGACACACAGCAAAATTGGGAAGAAGATAAATCGAACCTACCTCGGTTAAAGCCTTCTTATCAGCGACTCTGGCACTTTGTAAAAGACGTATCACGTTCTTGGCACCTTCCACGACAGCTGCCTCTATTCGTAATCGATGCCGTAGTTCTTCCACCCTCTCCTCCAACGCGAGCTCCAAACTGGGCTCGTACCTATCTATAAGTATATTATTACGTTTATTACTTTACATTACAAATTCGTTACACAAAATTGCATTACAAACTACCAGGGTTTAACTAATAACTAGTTCAAATTTTTAACTTCAAACTAGTTATTTTTTAATAAAAGTATTATTAATTTTTATGTTCATTTGTCATTAGTTGTAATTACCAAAAATATATTTCTATATAAATATCAAAATTTCTTTGATATTTATTATTATAAATTTTAAAAGAATTAAAAAACAAAATTCTAACTTAATATAATGTTTTTAAAAATTAACTTTTGATTTAATTTCAGTTAATTTAATTTTAACTTAACGTTAACTGACAATGAGTTAATTTTTTGTTCGTGCAAACTTTTAACTTAACTTAATTAATTTTACAAGCAACTAACTTTAACTTAACTTAGTTGAAAAAAATCATTAACTTATTCAATCCTGCATGACAGTAATATTTAGTATTCAAATTTTATATATATACAATATTATAATTAGGTATAAAATTAAAGATAGAATTATATATATATGCATATTATAATTGATTTTATTTATATTATAATATAAGACACATTTTAATATCATTGAATAAATTAAAAAATTAAATATCAGTAATATTATAATTAAAAAAAAATCAAATTAAAATATGCGTGCAAAAATATATACAAATAAAAATTAACTTTTGATTTAACTTCAGTTAATTTAATCTTAACTTAACTTTAACTGAATTAATTTTGTGTTCATGCAAACTTTTAACTTAATTAAATTAATTGTATAACAGCAACTGACTTCAATTTAACTTGATTTAAAAAAATTATTAATTTACCCAACCCTGCAAACTACAATAATACTCGTACAAAGCGCATTCTTTCATCTGTTTCGCGATTATCTTTCTTATATAACGCGTGTATCTACCACCCACGTGTAACTTTATGTAATGGAAAAAATGAGCCATTACGCGCGCGTAACGAATATATCCTTCTGGCAACAAAGCGTTTCCTTCCAAGAAATGTCATTTACTACGAATGATGAATGTATAAATCACCATTGTGCACTTCTACTATTGAATACGTGGCATACAAATTCCTGGATGAGATACGAACGCGTATCGCGTATCCTGGAACAGTTTTCATTACTGCGGTAAATGTCAGCTTACTGTCTCTATCTCTCTCTTTCTCTCGTTGTTCCATGTAAACTTGGCGTTTTAACAATGACAATGTATACAGCTCAACTATATGGTCAGTTGAACAATTAGAAAGCGAAGTCGACAATATGAGATGTCCGAGAGATAATTTACCGAATTTTCTTCTGCCACGTGTATATTTTCATATATTTAAATAAACGCAACATATTTTAAAGAAAAGAGATATCTATATAATATCACAAATTTAATTAATTTATTTTTAAAATTTATTGCATATCTCAGAAAAATTTTGCCAATTATTTGATTTGCAAAAGAAAATTTTTTTAGCACATGTATAAATATTCTCGACTATTGTCTCTTTTTCTAACACACACATATTTTTGTTCGAGGCAAATTATTATTATTAATAGGAATAAAGATAGGATCGAGTTGAATATGTACATAAAAATACAATTCAAATCCAATAATCAAGTTTTGTTTCGTATAATATTCATGAAAAATCGTATTTTATAAATATCCTAAAACCATCGGATTTCCTTTAAGTGGCAGGTCATTTGAAAACAATTTTTCCTCAGTGAAGAAATGTCGAGGCACCGATAATTTTCAAGTTTTAACCGATTGAAAATAAAGGATTTTTCGCTAAAATCTATAACTAAATTTTGTAAAAATAAAATGTAAAAAAATCACATTCTTCAGTTAATTTCAGGTAGATTTGACTAAAATAGAATTTTAATTTAAGGTTTTGTTACAAATGATACATTAACGCAAAAATTAGGAATATGCAAAAAATGATGATGTCGCCGACATTTTCACTGAGGAAAAATCGTCTCCAAATGATCCCAAGAAAGCATTATAATTGACTATTTACATGAATCGAAATAATACTTCTACTTTCGTGAAGAATCGAATCTTTACGAGTAGTCCTCGAACTCTAAGATAAAAAAATCTATTTATAATACTTGCTACACATCCACACACTCACACTCCCCCTATCCTACTTACATACTTATTCACCCCACTTTCTCTTAAGTATCTTATAAAAGATTCAAACATACTTGAACCAGGTTCAAATGTACTTGAACGTAGTTCTCTTGTTTTTAGTACTTATAGGGAACCCAAATTTATCGAGGTTCGAATTTATTTCAAAGTAATGTTATTTCGACGAAATAATTATAAAGAGTTCGAAAATATGCAACAAATTCGAACCTATTTGATGAGATACTTAATCCCATCGTTAATTATTAATAACAACCATCATATATATTATATATTAATATATAATTATCAATATTAATAATACTATATATTTATATATAGTTGTAAATATTAATATTATACATATATTAAAATATAATTATATATATATCAATATTAATAATATATTAATATAATTGTCACCACGATTAATATTTAATTAATTATATTAATATATAAATATCAATCTCTCTAAATTTCTTGGAGTGGGATCTCACTCCATTATTAATATAATATATAATATAGTTATTAATATAATATATAATTATTATTTTAATATATAATTATATTAATATATAAATTACTCCAAAAGAGTGGAATCTCACTCTTTTGGAGTAATTTATATATTAATATAATTATATATTAAAATAATTATATATTATATTAATAACCATTATATGTAGTACCATTATATATACATATATATACCTTTGTTACTAGTTGCTTCGCCATTCGGTGGCAATGCGTCGCCTCGTTGCTGTTTTGCTTGGCGAACTTTCATTATTCGCATGCGTAGGAACTCGATTTTGGCGCGAGAATCGTCTAGCATTTGTTGAGCCTCCTGTAGCAATTTCTTGTCACGATGGCCGCTCGTTAAACTCTGTATCATATTTTCAGCACCCTGCTTCACCTGTCGCAAATATAAACGGGAAGAGATTATATATGTATCATTTTCCATTAAAGTGGTATTAAAATTAGTATTAATTTGTTACAAAAATGTATCATTTCATTAAAAAAAGGAGAGAAGGATAATTGAAGACAAAACTTTTGTATTAACACGACCGAAGACAATAAGAATGTTTGCATTAATAAAGAAGGGAAGAGTTGAACGCATTATTCTAATTCATAATATAACGAGAGATTATTTTTAGTAGAGAAAAAATATTGCGCTGATTCACGCAAGCTCTGATACAAGAAAAATGGAAAAGAACTACCAAAGTTCTTTGCGGAAAAGCGCGTAACAGCTATGCGATAATTCTGAATCATCCCAAAGAATTAATGATAATTATTACTAAGAGGAGACACTCATTGTCTCCTTATCAAGTGTCCTCCGATATCGCGCAGCAATTCGTAGAAATATACATGACAATTCTGATATCGCATGACGTCATCATTCACGAAGTGTATCAGATCATCAACTTGCGATCTTGGAAATGTTAAGGAGAGTTTAGAGTTAGGCTCTCCTCTTTAGCGGCATCTATCTACCTTCAGTTCGATATTGAGCTGCTTCTCCAAGGACAGAAGCCGAAGATCCGTGAATAGACCTTCCTGACTCGGCGACGAAGGCCCCATCGGTGATAGAGGCGTGTCTGAAACAGAAATAGAAGCGTTCACCAAACGAAAGAATCTGATGATACGGATCTGACGTATATCAGCGACACCCACGTGACGACTGAAGCAAAACGCGAACGAAAATACATTTTACCAATTTTTCTCCAAACACGCATTCCTATCCTCGCGCTTTCTAGGTCTTTCCGAATTTATCCGGGCGGCCCATATTCAATGTTGCCCCCTATCCAAAATAAGGCTTGCCCATTTAGGACCTAATTAGGATATGGTTTTTGATTCTTTTTTTTAATATTATTTTTATTTATATGCTTAGAGTCTATCTCGGGTCTGATTAGGTCAGCAATGTTTTTTCTCATAACATTTTGATTTAAGCATGCCTAACTAAATACCTCATCACTTAACACGTTATTTCAATGACTCAATAAGGGGTTCATTAAAATTTCATTCAGACAGCAATATGTTCTTTTTTTATCGTGGTCCTTTTATCTTATAGGCTCGACTTACAAAGCCAACATTGGCTCAAGCTAAAATTGTTATATTGCTCCAAGTTTGGAAAGCATTAAGAGCTCTAGATAAAAAAAAAGTATGACAACCCGAGTTTGGATCAAAGTGGGCGCCCTAACTTGGATCTCAAATAAAGTTAGGAAACCTCAAATAAAATTAGAGTCCGGTTATTGCCTAGGAAAAATTCCCACGCGGATTTCTAGGTCTTCTTATAAGTATCCCTCTTCTTATATTAGGATTTTTTCGCATCTTCATCTTAGTTAAGCGACTCTCTGTTCCGCCTCGAACGCGTGCGCGTCTCTCGTATATCTCTAGACAATCTCTATGATTTGATAGCTAGATTATTACGTACAGCACACATGTTAGAGGAGGGAGATCCTACTTTCCATAACCCAGAGTGCTGACACGTTAACGAGTTGTTCCGACTCCCACGTATTCGAGTGTGGAAAGAAGCAAAAAAAAAAAAGAGAGTGACGTTCCGCTTTGTTTCAGAGAAACGGCACCGTTATAAAATAATTCCCATCTCTCGAGCCTCCTTTTCGCTCATCCTATTACAATAAACGTCTTAGAGACGTCTTAGAATCGCCCTCTTTCTCTCTTTGACCGGTGTCTCTGCGCAAATCGTTATATATGCAAATCGAGCTTGCGGCCGCAATTTATATATACGTAATATAGCGATATTACACAATGCACAATAAAATGCACATTTATAACTCCGTACACCGGAACACGGTGTGGGAACCCGCAGGTCGTAATTACGGGCGTTATTTCCGCGCCTGCCGGAACTTCCAGCAATTACATTAATCAATGTACCTTACGTAATCGTATCTTTTGTTATACGTATATATTTTAATTACCGGGGGAGAAGGCAGAAATGCATTTTAATGAGTCTTTAATCCTCTTCATTAAGGACATTTGCACAAAGTTTAATGGAAAAAAATGTCAGTTCCAAAGATAGACGTTTCAGAGTAGATATTTCGAGTCTACTAATTGTACGCGATGTTTTTTTCAGGGAGAGGACGACAATTTACGTCATCATACTCGTTATTGGTCTACGCAGGCGCTCGGTCACGAATTTAGAGCTCGTTAGGGGTCCCCCGATGTGGGGCACTTTTTCCTCCATTGAAATGTGCCCCATTATGCACTCGTACCTGCGAGGAAGCCACCGTAAACACGTGCAGGCCACGGTTCCACGATTTCCCCGCATGCACGCACATAGATGCATATATGCACAAACATACACACACACATACATACATCACGATAAACGACGCGTAGCGTCCGTTCGTTCAACGCCAATGAAACGAACGGCAGCAACACGCACATGTACCGTATATACACCGTCTATGTACACGTCGACATGTCCAAATAAGGCGAGGCAAAGACTGGATACTCGATTTTTCTCCCGAATATTTGATATTTATCGGCCTTCTGCCGATGCATGATTTTCCACCCTTTCATCGATGTAGGGTACCTGGGTACCGATCATATGTTTTTGACACATTACATAATGTGATGATTTCTTTTATAACAGCTGCTCAAATATTCTCTCATTCTTGTTATATTATATTAGGACATTTTCGAATAAAAAAGCTCTTTTTGCATTTTATTTTGGAGAAAAGTTCCAACGCATTTTTGACATTTGAAGTTGTTAAAATGATAAATTGAACAACTACTGTATTGTATATAAATAAAATAAAATATGAAAAGGAACTAGGTAATAAAAAATGATTTTAAAATTCTTTTATACTTATTTTATGTGCCAAAATAAATATAAAGAAAATTAATTTTAAAAATAATTTTGTTGCACCTAATATCTGTATCTGGCTTTTACTAATCCTTTTTATATTTAAATTTGTATTTACATACCTAGCGTTAAAAAATTAAACCGACAAACTTAAGGAAGAAAGAAAACTTCAAAATACATTTTTTTTGTTAATACTAATTATCTCTACAACGACAATTTTAATTTTAATACTAATATTAGATATGAGTTTGTGATTTTTTAATTTGTCTCCTTTTATAATATTAATATCTATACCACAATAAAATATGTTTGATTAATATTACTATGTACATATTACTATTTTTATTGTGGTAAATATTAATTAGAGAAATTCTTATAAAATTCTTTCAATACCGTATTATCCCACGATTACTATGATTTTCAAGGTAAATTCTAAGAAAAAATTTTCTCCGTGTAAAAACGTCGTAGAGAAAAATAGCATTAAAAATTTATTTTAAAGTCTTCCATTTCCCTTCAAAGTTTGCCCGTCTAATTATTTTAAAACACTGTATATCAGAATCTTTCTGAGAAATTTATTTTTATTGTTTCATTTTATTATGTTACTTTCAAAATAATTAAAGAGCAATTTAAAAACGATTTTGATGCGCCAAATATTTGTGCTTAACTCTTAAAAGTCCTTTTCATATCTTTTTTTTCTTTGCTTCCAGTACCCATTCATTCATTGACAGAAGAGGTAATAAACTTCATAAAAAATATATGCTAAATTCGCGTTTGACTGACATAAACAGTGTCACCACACGTCTAACATGTCCATGATGTTATTTATGTCCGTTTAGCACGAGAGATATAATTGACACATTCCGGGAAGTCCTACAAATATGTTAGATTAGATATAATTGATACTATACAGAAGGGAAGAATTATACACATTGCAGAAAAGAACATTATGGAAGAAGCACCCGATTGACAAGAATCTAATTATCCTAAACAAATTTTATCGACTTTGCATTGACAGTTCTCTAGCTCGGACAATCGCACAAAGATCAGATCAGGGTGTATACTTAAATTTTATAAATAAATTCTCTGAGGATTCCATGATTTTTCAGATATTTTTGTTCAAAATTCCAGATAAAATTAAAGTATTTAAAAAAATTTTAAATACAATTTTAAATTAAGTTTATTTTAATTAAACATAATTTTTTAACATAAATAAAATATAGTTTAATATAATAATATAATATTATATTTTATAATAAAATATATTTTAATATACTTTATATAAACCTAATAAATTTTATATTCCTTAAAAGTATATTTAAAAATAAAATCGAAAGGACAATTTTTTAAAAATTCCCTAAGTTTAAAACAAATTCCATGAATATTCCAGGATTTTTCAAGATAAAAAAAAATTCCCTGAGAATTCCAGGTTTTCCAGGTTTTTCCCGAGAGTAAACACCCTGTTTATATAAACCTAATAAATTTTATATTCTTTACAAATATACATATTTGAAAATAAAATCAAAAGTACAATTTTTTTAAATTCCCTAAGTTTAAAACAAGTTCCATGAGTATTCCAGGATTTTTTAAGATAAAAAAAATTCCCTGAGAATTCCAGGTTTTTCCCGGGAGTAAACACCCTGTTTATATAAACCTAATAAATTTTATCTTTAAAAGTATATTTGAAAATAAAATCAAAGGTACAATTTTTTAAAAATTCCCTAAGTTTAAAACAAGTTCCATGAGTATTCCAGGATTTTTCAAGATAAAAAAAATTCCCTGAGAATTCCAGGTTTCCCAGGATTTTCCCGGAATATACACCCTGATAGACGCATCTATAGAAAAAAATGCAATTATCCTGCACAAATTTTATCGACTTTGCGTTGACAGTTCCCTCGGACAATCGCGCAAAGGTCGGATGTAACGCAAACACACACACACAGATATATACCTTCATGACACAATGCGGCGAAAACGACGAGGGTGGAGGCGGAGGCGGCATGAAAGAGTTTGCGGGAACACAATGCGGTGAGATTCGAGAGAGAGAGAGAGAGAGAGAGAGAGAGAAGGAGAGAAACTCTGGCGAAACCGTGTCATTAGCGCAGCTCGGCCGAACACGTGCCCCATTATATCCCTCGTCTGTGCCCTTGCGGGGGCCGACAAAGGCCTTCCTTGTTTTTGAGATACCTAACCATCCCCTTCCTCCCTCCCTCTCTCTTTTTTTCACGGCATCCCTCTTTTTCGCGCGAAACCAACCGAGAGATTATCGTTTGCGCGCTTTTGAAGGAGACGAAAAAAAAAACGGAAGGGTGGCTGCACATATTTATATGAGGTAACTGTGAGGCCACTTTTGTCGGTTCAATGACTCGGATGACGAGTGCGATGCACGCAACCCTTTCAGAGTGTTTGTGCAAGATAGAGAGAAAGAGGGAGTCTCGAGACGCGAATAATTGCGTCTTATTCTCGCTAGCAACGAAAGTGAAAGAAAAGGACAGCGAAGTGGCAATAGTTATGCAAAACGCGACTAATACCCGGCAGCAGCTGCCTTTGTCCAGGATTCCGCGTATTATACTTATACAGGGTGTCCCAAAATTAATATATGAGTTAATTAACTTCGAAAATGTCGAGGCATCAATAATTTTCCTTTAAAATAAGGGTTTTCGCAAACCAAGCCTTGTGGAAATAAAATATTAACAAAATCACATTCTTTTATTAATTTCATGTAGAGTTTATTTTAATAGAATTTTAATTTAAAGCTTATTGTTAGTTAAA